AAATGCTAATTAGTTTGTAACTTTTCGCAGCGTTTGCAAAATGAACGAAAGCAACCTCACCGTCGACGAGGGCGTCGTCGACCCCGGCCTCAGCATGACCATCATCTTCCAGACCATCCTCTTCGCCGCCGTGTGTCTCGTCGGCCTCGTCGGCAACACTCTCGTCATCTACGTCGTGATTCGCTTCTCCAAGATGCAAACCGTCACCAACATGTACATCGTCAACCTCGCCATCGCCGACGAGTGCTTCCTCATCGGCATCCCCTTCCTCCTCGTCACCATGATCAACAAACAGTGGATATTTGGCAACGCCGCTTGCAAGGCCTACATGATCTCCACCAGCATCAACCAGTTCACCAGCTCCATCTTCCTCTGCATCATGAGCGCCGATAGATACATCGCAGTGTGCCATCCCATCTCCTCCCCCAAGTGGCGCACGCCACTGATTTCGAGGATTGTCTCGCTGTTGGCGTGGACGTGCAGCATCATGCTGATGACGCCCATTTTTGAGCACGCCACTGAAACGGAAAGTCCCTCGGGCAGAAAGTCGTGCATTATCGACTGGCATAATAATGAGAATTTTTCGGAGAATTCCACTGCGGCCACGGGGGCTACCGTTTTTACCACTTATACGTTTGTCTTCAGTTTTGCTATTCCTCTACTTTTGATTCTTGTTTTCTATTGTTTGGTCATCGAGAAATTGAAGACAGTAGGACCGAAAAATAAGTCGAAAGAGAAGAAAAGGTCCCATAGAAAAGTCACTAATCTTGTTTTGACTGTTGTTACAGTTTACGTTTTTTGTTGGCTGCCATATTGGATCACGCAYATTGCCATGCTTTGCAATACTTCACTCTCGACCACGCAGTAAGGATTTTTTTATTTATATTTTTTTATTAATAAAAAAAAAGGAAAAATAATAGGGTGAATTCGGGGGAGATGGAATTTAGAACTCCCAAACTCCAACTCTGTCAGACTTACCCTACACGTTTTTAAAAACTCAGAAACTATACCTTTTTTATTAGGTAATAATAATTTTTGTGCAGAAGTAACATAAAAAATTAATAAGGTAAATCTGGGAGAGATCTATTAAAAAAAAATTTGAAGAAACTCGAATAAATTGAAATTTTATCTTGAGAAGAGAGCGTAAATTAGAAATTTGAAAAAAAATCTTGAAAGAATCTTATAATTGCTAAAATCGAGATCTTGAAAAGTCAACACTGATTCAAATTTTGAAAAATGTTGAGTTCAATATCGTAAAAATGGTGAAAAGCCTAGAAAAAACAGAAATCTAGAAGCAATATTTTTTTTTAACTTTTCAATTAGAAAAATTTCAGATATTGGAACGAAACTTGTTTTAAATTTCTAGGGATAATAGAGATCTTAAGAAGAGATTAAAGATCTTGACAAAAACATAATTTTTTCTTCAAAACTTACAGAATGTAGAATCTTTAAAAGAGTAAATAAAAAATTTTAAATTCAAGATGTTGAAAAATGATGGAAAACTTGTAAAACATTGAGAATATTAGAATTTAGAAAACAAAAATCTCGTGAAATAATRAAGAATCGAGAGAAGCCCAAAAAACTAAAAAATATTTATAATTGAGTCGAAATTAAAAATGTGATTATCAGAAAAAGAAATGTTTTAAAATTTTTTAAGAAACTCAAATACTTACCTTGAAATTTTATCAAGTTCTTAAATTAAAAATTTGAAAAACAATATTTTGAAAAAATATTATAATTGCTAAAAACGAGATTTTAAAAACTCAGAATTTTACTGCATAAACTGCTAATAAAAAAATAGATGGACTTTGGAACTTAGAACTTTCGTATTTCATTTTTTCCCAATTTACTCTAGAATTGCTAGGTTTTCAACGTTTTTAACAAATTTTCTTGTGTGTAGACTAAAAAAAATTCGTCAAAAAATAGGCCAAAAAAACACAAAATTTAGCAACATCTTTGAACTAAATTCTGTTTTTTGTAAGATTACACTAAAACAGACTGAAATTATATTATTTTTGTCTTTTTCGAGTATTTTAGAACGTTTTTAAGTCAAAAAACGCAAGTACTTGGCAAAATTTTGTTGAAAATAAGACGAAAAAATACAAAATTAGGTCAAAACCTGGCTTTTTAGGCGTTTAAAAATTTCGTAATAAAGCACAAAATTTATCTAATCAAAATTGTATTATATTCACGTTTTTTCAAATCTTGAAGGTAGTTTTTGAACGAATTTTTTTGTGAGATTACATTGCTCCGGTTTTTTTGTGATTTTGTCAAAACAAGCCTAAAAATCGCCAAGAAAGTCAAGAATTATATTATTTTTGTCTTTTTCGAGTGTTTTAGAACGTTTTTAAGTCAAAAAACGCAATTATTTGGCAAGATTTTTGTTGAAAATAAGACGAAAAAACACAAAATTAGGCTAAAAATTGCCTTTTTAGGCGTAATAAACCACAAAATTTATCTAATCAAAATTGTATTATTTTGACGTTTTTTCAAACCTTGAAGCTAGTTTTTGAACTAAATTCTGTTTTTTTTGTGAGATTAGATTGCAACAGCCTAAAAAATTAAATAATTATAAAAATTAATAGAGTAAATCCGGGGGAGATCGATCAATGGGATTGAAGGTATTTGGAACTTAGAACTCCCGTATTTCATTACTTAACGATTTACAGTAGAATTGCTCAGTTTTTGACGTTTTTACAATTTTTTTTTCACTAATAATTTTTTTGGAGACAAAAAAACACAAAATTAGACCAAAAATTATGTTTTTAAAGCCGTATATAAATCTCGTCAAAAAATAGGCCAAGAAACACAACATCTTTGAACTAAATTCTGTAAGATTACACTAAAACAGACTGAAAAATCATCTTTTGAGCCTTTTG